ATTACATAAAATTCGAACTAATTCCATTTCTTTGCATAAAAATAGAACAACTAATATAATAATAATAATTCCTTACATTTATTTAACACTTTTCTGGACACTCAAAGCGATTTACACATTTATATAACAAACAACAAATACATAAAGTAACATAAAAAACAACGAATGTATCACTTCTAATAAGAACGAATGTCTGTATGTTCTATATATATATATATATAAAAAAATGGAAAAAACAAATAAAAAATTTAAAATGTAAAAAAAAAGTTTTGTAAACTACATTTTTCATTTACATTTTTAAATGTAAAACTAAGTTTTCACTTCTGCAATAAATCATGCATTCTTCACTTCAAACAAAACAAAAACTAAGTTTGTCATCTCAATTCGTCGCTCAAAAAAAAAAAAAAATCAATAAAAAGAATGAACTCATGTTTATCACTTCATGTAAAAGAACAAATTTTCTGTCATAAATAACAAGCTCATCATCATTTCACATTAAATAGTATGAATTTATCACACTAATCATAACAATGTAGTCATCCAACTTCACTATTTGTAATGTTGCAATATGTATTTAAACAATGATGGTTGGTTCCTCGAAAGCTCAAATTTGATCATCATTATAGTTATTGTTGTTGACAGAGTTTGAGCTTTACTGTATCATTATTATTGACACCTTACAGATGTTGATCTACCTTTACCAGTGCGCACACTCTTTGTAACATTTTAATCAAGTTTAAGTCTCTTTAACACTTATGTTTATTTTATTATAAAGAAATCAGATATTTTGTTCAAATAACTGTTTTTGCCTCTTAAAACTATTTTCCTTAGTAATGTTGGTAAATTAAAATAAAGTGGATAAATAAAAAATAAACCCTATAATTTCTAAACGGATTTTTAAAAAATATTCAATAATTATCGATACCGTATGATATGTAACATGATATCATGATTTTTTTTTTCCCCAATATTGCTCAGCCCTAACTTGCCACAATGTACTTCAGGCAAAAACAAACTTTTGCGAAGTAATTTTGAACAATGTGAAAAGTGCATTTCTCTCACCTCTCCATGGCGTCTCCAATCAGCTCCTCTCCATCATCATCCTCCTCATCAGGAAGAGTGTCTCCCAGAAGTCCCTCAGACTCATCCTCAAATGGAGGAAGGTCTCTGCCAGGGCTGGAGGTCAGATCCCCCCGCCGAGAGCCTCGAGTGGGGCTGGTGGCCATGTTGAACGACTCTGAGGAATCCTATTTTAGAACAAAAACAATGTCAATGTTGTATAAATGTGATCCTGGCTGATAAAACCTTACGTTGATCATAAAACGTCTTATATTGCACGGGTACATGTTTGGCAACAGACAATATATATATATATATATATATATATATATATGTGTATATATATGTGTGTGTGTGTGTGTATGTATGTATATGTATATATATATATATATATATATATATATATATATTGCGAAAAGTCCTTACAATATTACGTAAAAATCATGTTTCATGAATACATTTTGTAAATTTGCATCTGTAAATATATAAAAACACATTTCTTGAAGAGTAATGTGCATAGCCTCACACTTTTAGGCAACTTTTACCAATATTTAGACTTTTGTTTTATAGCCCTTCATTTTTTTAAGAGTTGTCCTATTCTATTATATATTGCCCTAGCCTAACAAACCATACACCAATAGAAGGCTCGTCTACGCAGCTTTCAGGTGATTTATAAATCTTAATTACAAAAAAAGGCAATTATGACAGATTTTGTGGTAAATTGTTCCAAATTAAAAAAAATTTAGACTTGAATTTGATTGAGGTAAACTTGTTTTCATGCTCAATGACAACTTGTGACATGCTACCTACATTGTTTACCATGGTATACTTTGAAAGTTTGGTGGTAAATTATATGTAAACATGACTTTAAAACAATATAATTGTTAGCATGGCTGCTAATATGATTGGCCTAATATTTTTTGCAAATAAAAGTCTAGTAAAATTATATTATTACAGAGAAAGTCTAAATGTGTAAATTTAACCGAGCTTTACATCAGAATACATTTGAAGAGACTGATGGTTAGTGCGGAAATCCATGTTACATGTGGATACTTTGATAAAACTGAGGTAATACAATATCATTACTTCAGAAAATTACATATTAAACATAAGTCATCCATTACCATTTTGTAACGTTTGAACTGGTAACTAAATGGACCACAACAAAGAAACTAGTTTTTCCACGTGGGACTTTCCTGAAAGAGCTTGACATTGCTTAAGATATTTTTAATTATTTTAATTTCTACTCGCAACACATTTACCTTTTGGAGAATTTAAAGCAAATATTTTTGAATATTTGATGTTTTTTTTATTATTTTATTAAATACATTACGCAACTTGACAGCTTTGGTTATGACAAAACACATCACATAACACTAAAATCACGACATATGTGCAAGTGTAAACGCACATTTGCCTAAAATCATGTAACCTTACAACTTTTTATTGATTATGCTGCTTTACAGAACATTACATTTCTTCATCTACGTGCAAAAATGCTTTCAACACGCGGATTTTACACACCACGAACACATTGGCCAACTTCACATATTGCGAAACACTTTTAAACGACGTTTAACAGATTTGTTTACAGAAATATATAACTTATACATAAAAACTACTCACCGCCATTTTCGCACGTCTGCCTTGAACAGAAGCTCGAGTGTAGACTAGTTTTCCCGGGAAGACTGACTTTTCGCGCGAAATGCTCCACGTGACCAGAAAGCGCGCGAAAGGCTATGAATATGTAATGAGAAAGATAATTTGAGTACTGTGATTGGTCGGATGGCAACTACATGACGTTAAACTGAACAGTCATTGGTTTGACGCGTGAAAGAGGCGGACATTTTACATTTACATATTTAAAACAACGCGTTAAAGGGATAGTCCACTCAAAATGATAATCCTGTCATTATTTACTCACCCTTCCCTTGTTAAATGTTTTTTAAAACTTAAAACTTTAGGAATACAAAACATGATATTTTGAAGAATGTTGGAAACCTGTAACCACTGACTTCTGTAGGGTATATGCAGAGCTAGTGTTTCTTCCCATACTGATAAACTTCTGGTGAACGTTTTTTCTATTTTATTCGGTTCCTTTTACATCATCGATGTTGTAATGCACTTAAAATACAATCAGTTAAATAGCATTCTGCATTAATTTAGTTAAATGAGACGAAAAGCCATTTACACGGACACGGCCGTCAAGATTAGCAGGCTAGCGCAGAAGTTCTTTTGAATATACTGGGGTAGAAAATGTTCATATTTTAAAGACATGGCGCGGGAAAACGTAATTTAATGCAGTGTGTTTCTTGTACAATCTGAGACTCATTTTATAGCGGATATCACTCAGCGAGTAGTGATCGCTGATTTTTAAAGAAAACTTATGGCATACAGTTCACCGGAAGTGCGTAACCCAGGTTACTGACAAATTAAAAATCCTTTCGCATTCTTCCACATATACCCTATTTGTTTTTTTCCTACAATGGAATTCAGTGGTTAACGGTTTTTAGATAACTTTAAAAGATTGGAATAAAGAAAATTAAAAAATTATAATAATTAATAAAGATACTCATGAAGGTCTGGAACCACTTGAGGGTGAGAAAATAGAAATAATAATAATTCTTATATATATATATATATATATATATATATTGAACAAACATACTAGAACAAATTAATAAAAATATTAATAAAACGTGGCCCAATTTAAACGTGTGAAGACTGTCACTGCTCCTTAAGTTCAGGGGAAGCAAGTTCCATAGCCGAGGAGCCATGGAACTAAAAGATCTGGCTCCCAAGAGAGAGTTGGCTGATCTAAGAGTGCAAGAAGAGATGTTGAGGTGCAAGATTGTGAAGTAATAGTGAGTAAATGGTATTTTTGGGTAGACTTTCCCTTTTAGACACAATTTGAGAGTTGAAGTTTTGCTTAAAATGAGTCAAGCAGTTGGATCCAAAATAATGACACATTGCTCGCTGCAGAGCCACTTGAGCTTTAACTCCTCCCCCTATAAGCAGTTTTAATGCGTACAACCACCCCACCCCTAACCCCAAACCCCAGTGACATCACTTGTAGAAGAAGTGCAAGGAAGGAAGACCTGGAGCTCAAGCTCCCCCTTGCTGGAGCGCAGCTCTGCCCAAGTAGCTGTGCAGTGAGAACTACTTGAAACTAATATGTGGCTCTTCATATCATGGTGTTCAAGCCTCCATTATCTAACTTAAAAGGAAATTCTTTACACTGTCTTAAGAAAACATAAGCATAAATTCTTCTGGACATAGTTAATATAAATTCAGAGACACGGCGGCTCGGTGGTTAGCACTGTCACCTCACAGCAAGAAGGTCACGGGTTCAAGTCCGACTGGGCCACTTGGCATTTCTGTGTGGAGTTTGCATGTTCTCTCCATGTTCACTTGGGTTTCCTCCGGGTGCTCCGGTTCCCCCACAATCCAAAGACATGCGCTATAGGTGAATTGGATGAACTAGAACAGGGGTGTCCAGACTCTGTCCAGGAGGGCCAGCGTCCTGAAGGTTTTAGCTCCAACTTGCTTCAACACACCTGCAAGGATGTTCCTAGAATGCTTAGTAAGAGCTTGATTAGCTAGCCCAGGTAGTCTGATTGGGGTTGGAAGTAAACTTTGCAGGACACCGACCCTCCAGGATCGAGTTTGGGCACCCCTGAACTAGACTGTACGTGGTGTGTGAAGAAGTGTGTATGGATGTTTTTCCAGAGCTGGGTTGTGGCTGGAAGGGAATCCGCTGTGTAAAACATATGCTGGATAAGTTGGTGGTTCATTCCACTGTGGCAACCTCTGAAACAGAGACTAAAGCTGAAAGAAAATGAGTGAATGAATAATATAAATTCTCTGAAATCTCTCCGATTCTGAAATCCAGTACATTATTATTCTTGCATGAAAGAAGAACACAAGGAACGTACATGAACAGCAGTACTCAGAATGTTTAATTAAATTTCATCTTCACAATAATAGTTGCATTATCCTCTAGTGTATTAATTGGCCCCTAAAGTGCACATTGCCGGCATACTTTTCAAGTACCTCTCAACAATACGTACAGAACTGGCACGGTCACGGCGAACGCGGCGCACGTCAGCACGGTATTGTACAGACTTGTTTTGTTGATCTGCGCCTCTAATCTCTTCTCCGTTTGACCGAGACCTTGAACGACTGTCTCAGTATCGCAAACAAAAAGCTGCGTGCCTCGGGTTTGAATGACTGGCTTCTCTAAAGGACGAGACTGTAGAGTGGTTTTCACCGTCTGCAGCTCTGTCCCGACCTTCGATAAACTCTCCCACACTTGCTCTAGTTGTGGTTTAAGGCTTTCGATGAGCCCTTGAGCTTTTTGGCTGTTTTGGAGAATCTCTTGAATCGCTTCTTCCGAGGCACCAGATGTGGAAGATTGGACAACGGCGGCCGCTGGTTGCACGATGGCCGGCTTGCCAATTTTTGCATCTTCTCCGCTGCCTTTCAAAGTCGTCCTGAGTGAGTGGATGAGGTTGCTGAGTTCGTCCTGTTGCGTTTTGTGTAAGCTGGCCTGCACCTTGATTGCTTCCTGAAGACTCACCGGCCCCTTCTGAGCCTCCAGCAACAAGCTTTTGAGTTCCTGCAAACGTACCCGGTTTATGTATGTGGAGCCCATTACGCCAATGATGGCACCCAACACTGAGCCAATGATGGACCAGTTTTTGGTGCGTTCTGCCCTGGTTCTTTCTTTGTCGTGGCTTTCACGCACCGCAGCGGAGAAGAGCGCGAACTTCTCTCGCTCGGCTTCTTCTGCATTCTCGTGGGATGTTCTGAGGCGCCGTTCTTCCTGTGGTAAAAAAAGTAAATGTTAAGAAATAAACAAAGTAGTAGTACTACTCTAGCTATAACGCGGTTCACCTTTCATGGCATCGCAGTTTTTCTCCGTGCAATTCGACATGCTCTTTTTTTCTACAGCGCATTGTGTTCTGCGTCCTGACTAGCTGTAGACCATTGTCAATCAATCAATCTCCTCCGTGCCGTGTTTCCTGTACATTACAGAATGCGTTCAGCTTGCCAAATTTACATAAATCTTCTATCCCTAGCAGTGTGACTTTGAAGTACAGTACTGTAGGTTTGCAAGTTTTCTCCCTACAATGTTGATGAAAGGCACCTGCAGTAGCACCCAAATAGCAGAGGAAGATGGTAACCATCGCACAAAAAGTTGGACATGCTGAAGGAAGGAAAGTAGAAGGTACGCGGCTGTAGGGCACCATTACAGAATAAATAAATGAAGGTCAAATGGTTTTAATCTTTGGTTTCATTCTATAATACTGGACGTATTTTTCTATGAAGGTTTGATCTTTGAAAGTGTTTAAACAAGAGAGAAAAGTGTAAAAATGTTAAATGCAGAGACTCCCGGATGCCTGCAAACAAATGATAATCACCCGGAAATCATCCCTCTTTTGATATAAGTTGTGTGCAACTCGTCCCCAACGTTCTTCAGGTACACGCATTGTTCATGCGTGAGTCTTTTGTGTCCAATGCGGCATCTTCTATAGACCTTTTTCATGGCTGCTGCATGGAGGGCGCCATAGCGACCAGCGTCTTCCGGTAGAATGCTAAAAACTTCCGTTTACAGCCTGTACAACTGGTAATTTGTGCTCCGAAAATGGGTTTCAATAACGTTTTTAATGGATAACAGAGTGTTTTTGTGACACACAACTTATAAATGTGTCTGTTAAAGCCGTTATAATCTGTCACATGTGGTTCAAGCGCGTCAGAAATACGAGAAAAAAGTTCTCCTAGTTCACGTGTCTGCCGTCAGAAATACAGTGTGTGTGTGCGCGTTCCCGGCCTGTCAGCTGTTAGCTCAGCAGCTCTTTAACACACACACACACACACACACACACACACACACACACACACACACACACACACACACAGAGAAAGAGAGAGAGAGAAAGAAAGAAAGAGAGAGAGCAAACCAGAGTACTGGCATGAAACTTAACAGGTATGAAAGTCGTGCAACTTACAAAAACGACCAATAAAAGTCTGTTATTGATCCTCTGCTGGCTGATTTGCTGTTCATTCTAATCGCGAGCCGTTTGTGTTTTATTTCGTGTGTTGTTTTCACCACGGTTTGTGTTTTTCTGCCATTTCGAAATGACACTAGCCTATATTTTCACTTTGTCACAGTTATTAAATCAGTGTGTCAGTGGCACAGTACAGGCTACGTGTGTGTGTCAAACATTTTGGTGAATTACATTTGTTTGGGCTGGTTATATATTTGAAATAAAGAGAAAATGTTGACTTTAGCGATGACGAGGCTTCATTTAAACTGCAGAAGATGCCGTCTGACAACGAGGGGGAAACGCCTCACAGCAGCTGTTTTCCATCCTATTAGATCGCATTTCTTTAAATGATCAGTCCAGGAGATGCTGCTGATGGACAACAGTATTAGTTCAAAGAGGATAAAAGCAGGTAAAATAGATTAAAACTATCGTTTCAAAGCTGTCCAAATGTGACTGTTTACATGCATCAGCTGCCGACCGGAAGTTCTTCGAGTTCTCCTTTCGCATACACGCAAAGCATAATGGGTAATTTTGCGTTCCAAGAAAAAGGTCTATAAATAATCTCATTGTGTCTTGAGGTACAAAATTAATTAGATTTTCTTCCTATTTCTGGCTGAATTTCAAAAAGTTTGTTTTCTGAGCCCTGATCCCATTCTGTTTGCCATTTGCTTAGAATATAGCCTTTTATCAGTGACTTTAGGTCTGAAGGTGGGATTTTGCACTCCTTTAGCTTTCCTGTATGGGGTGTTTTGGCGGCTTTGTAGGCTTGTTCATTTCCTATTAATACAGCATGACATGGGATCCAGCAGAAAACCATATTTTATAAAACCATTTTTGTAGTTCATTTACTTTGATAAAAACGTCAATAATAATGGGATGCTCCAGTTTAAAAGAATTAATTGTTTGTAGACAGTATTTTGAGTCCGAAAAATAATAAAATCGTCTTTTTCAGCATTTTCAATGTGATCCAGAGCTAAAAATAGAGCCTTTGCTTCTGCTGTAAAAACTGAGCTTTGATCTGGAATGCGAATGCCATAGTGTAATTAACCTATTACGACTGCTGCAGAAACATGACTGTCCATTTTTAAGTGTTGCATGAGAAACATAAAATTTCCCCTTAATTGGCAAAAAAAAAAAAAGTTTAGGCACGCTTGAGGTGGTTATGGATTTGTGTGTTAATGCCAAAAATGTGAGATGGAAATGCATTTGACCTAAATGTTAACATACAGTAGCGAACATTACACCCGCCTGACCAGTCAGCAGTCTTCATTTTGTTTGCCTTTTTTAATGTTGGTTGCTAGGTTACCAATACTACAGTCACCCACTTTAACAACTTGATGGAAACACTTAATGCGCATTTGGAATTTTTTCATTTTTTTGCAGACTTTGAAAAGATTTGCTTCACGTTAGGATGAACGTCGTACTATAGGTGGACTATTGCAGTGTTTCTCAACCACGTTCCTGGAGGACCACCAACACTGCATATTTTGGATGTCTCCTTTCTCTTTCACACCCACTACTTTCATCCTCTGCTAATGAGTTGATGATCTGAATCAGGTGTGTTTGGTTAAGGAGACATGGAAAATGTGCAGAGCTGGTGGTCCTCCAAGAACATGGTTGAGAATCACTGGCTTATTGGATCACATTGTTGGCATATAAACACACCCTGAATTTGAGACAGAATGAAAATACGACTGATGAAATGTCTTTCCGTAATAACCCACCTGCAGTAGCTTGTGTTCAAGTGTTGCTAACTCTAAATAATGTGCCTCTTCACGCGACACTCGGTCCAATCGGTCTCTCACTTCTTTCAGACGAACTTGTAGAGCCTCCAGGCTGGTGTGAGCTTCCCTTACAATTCCTCTGGCAACCATAAAAGCCTTCTCAGCCTAACACCAAAACATAATATATACACTTAATACACTTCATTGAACATGTACACTCAGACATCACCTATATACTATATAACTGCAGGTTAGCTATGTTTATATATACATATATATATATATATATATATATATATATATATATATATATATATATATATATAATGTTTACTGTTAAAAGCTATTAGTTACTAGTTAATTACTAAAAGTTATTAGTAACTAATAAAGTTATGGTAACTAATAACCTTAACTTTTCAGTATTTGGTTGTAATGCAATAATTGGCACCTTTTGTAAAGCTCCTTTGAAACAATAGTTATTGAAAAGCGCTATATAAATAAACTTGAATTGAATATATCCAAGGATTCAGAAGAAAAATGCACATGTTTCTTGACACATTACCTCTGTGACTTTGGACTGAGCATCTCGGACTTCATTAAGCCCGACAAACTCTTCATAGCGCTCCCACCAGTAGTTGACGGTCACTGATGTGGTTTTCACCGCATTGCGTCCCCACTGTTTCCCCAGCTCTCCAGCATATGCTAATGCAGACGCCGTGCGCTCTTTAGCAGATGTAGTTTTATTTGGCTCATCTTTAGGGCTTTGCTGCTGGGTGCAGTATGATCTGTGTAGGCTCCACTGGACCGGGTTGAACCCCTGGTGTCGGTAGAGACACGTGGAGACGAAGCTGCCTGGAAATACAGTGTTTGTTCTGAACCTCATTGAAGAGCCTCATATGTCAGGTCGCCACACGTCAAATATGTAACCTGTAAACACACTAAAATCAATACATGGAGACCTTTTCGGTGGATTGAGGTAAAGTTAGCTTCATATTCACACATTTGGATATTGTCCTAGATCATATAATTTCACAAAAATATTATTTGCAAATTCTAAATTGTGCAATCACATTAGCAGCAAATTATTATCAAAGTACAAGACTGTTCACAGTCAAATAAATAGTGCTAATGTTGTTTGTGTCATACTTACATGTGATTTCAGACCCAATATTCAAAGTACCATGGTAAACAATATAGGGAGCATGTTACAAGTTGTCACTAATCTAATGTCTGAATATAAAACCAATTTTACCTCAATATTAGGGGGTAATTTCTAAAAAAAAAAAAAACTTTATCTGGCTACACAAATGAAGACAAAGGTAAGAAAATATGTCTTAAACAATAAAAAAAGAATAGACTAAATAAGAAATTACTTTGATTTGAATTAGAACAAACTTCACTATATTCTGTAAGTCCTGAGATATGTAAACTCATCTTTTAAAAGTGCATTTTTAGATTCTTGATTATCCTGTTTAAATTTTAGAACTTTTTTTATATGTATACTTGTATTTATTGCATGTTTGATTTCTCTGTTGTTGTAGTAGTGCATTGGGTCTTAGAAAAGCGCATTATAAATAAAATGTTTTATTATTAACACAACATCTAAAAGTTAAATATGTGGGTTCTACATAAAGTACACACAAAATAAACTGACCTACCTACGAAAGCACTACATCACTTGCATGTGATTTCAGACCCAATATTCAAAGTACTATGATAAACAATAGGGAGCAGGTTACTATTTATTACTGATCGAATGTCTGAATATAAAACCAACTTTACCTCAATATTAGGTGGTATTTTCTAAAAAAAAAACAAAAAAAAAAACAACAACTTTATTTGGATTTGTAAATGGCTGCACTAGTTAAGTAATAAGTAAAATTACAATAATAAAAGTAAGAAAATATGTATTAAACAATATTAAATGTATATCTTTGCACATTCGATCAGTGACAACTTGTGAAACGCTTCCTATATTGTTTACCATGGTAATTTTGAATATTGGGTCTGAAATCACGTGCAAGTGATGTACTGGTTCTGTTAGTAGGTCGTTGTATTTTGTGTGTGTAACGTTAAGTGACTTAGAACAAACTTCTATAGAATCTACAAGTCCTTAGATATGAAACACATCTAAAACTTAAACATGTTAGTAATTTATACACGAATTACAAACAAAATAACAATAAAAGAAAATATGATATTTGTTTTCCAGTTTCAGCTGTATTTGTCTCTAAAATGACCTACAAATAAAACAAAACTGGTGTACGAGCTGATGAATGAATTCACCAGTGTCGGCAAATAATGTTTACAGTAAGTCATTTCAGAACATAAACACATACCGGTGATTTTCCGTTTGGTCGCGTTCCCGCTCGAGTCAGCAATTCATCATGTTTAAAATCTGTGTATTATAATGTAAATATCTGTCAAATTTCCTGAAATGTCATCCTGCGGCATGAAAACATTTCTTTCAGGCACTAAACCGGTGCTGTTTTCGATTGACTCTTCGGTTATTGATTCAGTTGAATCGATTCTAACATACATTTCTTAAAGAAACATTTGTTTCTTTAAACAGTCATTTAGAACTAAGTAAGATAATAATTTGGTTTATAAATCAAACAATAAGGCCGACAAACTGCTCATAGACAGCGCTACATTTACAAATCCGTCTCAAACCAGCCAGTTCAAACGAACCGTCTAAACGAATCGATTCTCCAAAACAAATCGAGCCCTCCGTTCTCTCAGGCACTCGACGGAACCACTACATCCGGGTAACTGCTGGGGTCCTGACAGCGCGGAAAAAAAAGCGTTAGCTAAATAATCCGAGCAGCATGTCTGGAAGAGAAGGTAACGTTAAATTAAATAAATTCGCTAGTCATGACGGTTTCGTCGTGTAGAACGTGATTATAAATAAATAACGCTATTTTTTGACCACATTGACGGTCTCTACGGGTTAAAAACGCGGTGTTATTATTCATATCTAACGTAAGGCTAACTGCATTAAGTTAGGTGTAATATAATTTATGTTATAGTTGAATGAATAGATGTTGGTGTTATTTTTTATTATATGATTTTTATTATATGTGATTTTTTTTCAAATATGTAGTTTAATCTATTGTAATTATAACAGGGTTTCTGCAGGCTATTAAAAAGTCTTAAAATGTCTTAAATCTCAAAATCAAAACTTTAGACCTTAAAAAGTCTTAAATTTACTGAAATATTGTGTTGTAGGTCTTTTTAATTTTTTATTTTTTTAAACGGGTCTTAATTTTCCTTTGTTCATGTATTGCTCCCCAATCTGCCAAAACCCATACAATCACCAACAGTCTATCACAATAAAACGTTAAAATTTTATTTTTTTATTATAAAAGGTATTTTTAAACTCTATCATAGTGGTTTGTTTATTTTCCTTACAATAACATTTGTTTAAAAGTTTATTTACCATTTACTGCTGAGAACACCGACATGGACAGACTGATTTCCATATGTTTAATTTATTATAGTTTTTAAAACTTTTCTTTTTTTTTACTTAACGTTTTTGTTGGGAAAAAGTGTATGTGTATATGTCTTTTCCATCTGGGCCATTTGAAAATTTCCTTAGTCTTTAACACTTTGAGTCCAAAATATCATTCATAATTGTCTTAAAATTTCTTAAGTCTTAAATTGAATTCTGTGAAACCTGTTGAAACCTTGCATAATGATAACAAACCTTTACATATTTAAAATTTTATTTTAGGAGGTAAAAAGAAGCCCCTCAAGGCTCCCAAGAAGCAGTCGAAGGAGATGGACGAGGTAAGTTCAGTTCTGTGAGAAGTGTTTTCATATAAACACAGAGCTCATGGGTTTGTGGACATATAAACTGTATTAATGGCTACAGAGTATTACCGATCTAAGTTTAGATATCTAGAAATAAATTAGTTTGTGCTCTATTTTGATCTGTTTAACTGCAAGCACAAATTTCTGGTTTTATCTTTAAACAACAGGACGAAATGGCTTTCAAACAGAAACAAAAAGAGGACCAGAAAGCAATGGAGCAATTGAAAGCCAAGGCTGCTGGGAAAGGACCTTTAAGTAAGAGACGCAAAAACCAGTGTGTCATTTTTGTTGTTGTTGTTCATATTAATCAATAGAGTTGGATCCTGTATTTAAAAACTGGTTTCTGATCATTGAATTTGGTAAAAATAAATTAAAAAAGGCGTAGTTCACCCAAAGCTTAAAATTGTGTGAGTTTCAAAAGAAGATATTTTGGAAAATTTTGGAAACTAGTACCATTGACTTGTAATATTTGTTTTTTCCTTATATGGAAATCGATGGTAAACGGTTTCTAAGGCGCCGTTTACAATTGTGCGTTTTAGTTTTAAAACGGCGTTTTAGATTAAAAAAACGATCCGCGTCCACACTAGCGTTTCACCTAGCGTTTCTGAACATATCTCCGTCCACACTACGCCACCAAAAACGTATATCACATGACCATTCGTGCACTTTGGACATGCACGTTCTAGTATAAACAGGAAGCATGCGTCTCGCTCGGCATTTGGTTATTGTTAGTCAACAAACGCCGGTTTAACAATGAACGCGATGGCAAAGACAGCAAGAGAGTTTTTTTTGTGGACAGACGACAAGGTCGAGTTGCTACTAAACGTAACAAATGAATAACTATACAATGGCGCCTAAAACAGACAATAGTGCAAGCAACGCTCCCATTTCTGTGTCCATGTTGTTGTTTACAAGGCTGGTCTGCTGTCTTCTGGTAGCGTTAAAGCCATGTGTTATAGTCATGTGATAGGGGCTTGACAAATAAGGGAAGGATACGCAATGACACAAAAGTCCCAATCAGGTAGCGAATCTCAGCAGCCCCGCCTCCATTTTCAGATGTCTCCGTTTTCCCTCATCCACAAAGAGACGGAGCAGCAGCGTTTTAGAAAGAAAACAGCCTCTCCAGCGTTTCCAAAACGCTCAGTTTTCGGCGCTTGAAAACTCGGGTGTAGGGTGGATGGATGGCGTAACTGTAGCAAGACTTCGCCGTTTTCAAACTAAAACGCATTAGTGTAAACTGGGCCTTACATTCTTTCGAATTTCTTGTTTTGTGTTAAACAGAATCAAGAAACTCAAAAGGTTTGCAACTAGGCATGAGACGATAATCGCTTTCAAAGTTTATCGCGGTTTGGAAAAGTCAAGGTTTTAAAACCGCCAAATTTGTCTGTAATACCGTTCCTAAGGTATGCGTAAGATTTTTTTATGAGCAACAGTATCTCCAGCAGAAAAGATATTCAAAAATGCCATTTTAAGTTGTAAAGGAATCAGTGTTTTTGAAACAAATGAAGACAGCAGAAGTCAAACATTCATTTTAATTATTTAGCCTGACACGTTTACAGCTCCAAAATATTATAAATGTTTCTTAAAATAAAACATATTGTGTTTAAAGAGGGAAAAAATGTAGTTTTTTCCCCAGACGTTTAAAAAGAATATATTGTAGAGCAGTAATCACAATATTGTGAAAGCGTGATATTTTTATCCAAGGTTATCATACGGTCAGAATCTTATACAGGCCTATGCCTATTGGCATCCACTTGAAAGTGTGTAAATATAGATTTTTGGGTGAACTACCTCTTGTACGACAAACAGTTGATCAGTTTTTTATTAATTATATATCATTTTGTTGAACCCGTCTGACTAATCAAAATTCAGGGAGGAGAAACTACATTTTCCATGATGCTATACTGAAAAATGTTATCAATTTGAGATTTAGATCTTTAGCTTGTGTAAATATAGGTTTGTATTTTTAGAAATATGAATATTATTTATTATATTTAACGCTACATTTCTATTATAATTATATTTGTCATTTTAGTTTGCTTGTTATTCAGGATTGTAGTTCTTTCCCTTACTAAACACATAAATTGCTTATTTTTTAATATAATTATTTGCCACAAAATTCGTAATGCTATGATTCTCCTGTGGAAAAATTCTTGATCAACATTTTTTTTTTGATAAATCCGCATACTCTTTCTAGTTATCTCAACTTACAAAACTGGATTTAGTCAAGCTGACTAAAAATATTAAGCTAAACTTTGTAGAAATAAAAAAAAACGACACCTGATTAACTTATTACGAAGTTATAGTAAAAAAACCACGATTATCTTTCGAACTTTTTGTAATATACATATAGATTTTGTTCACATCCCGATGGGAAAACACTTCCAGGATCAGTGCTACTGACAATATTGGTGTTCACTAATGCTGTAGTCAACATTTTTTCCTAAACTTTATAAATCCAGTGTAAGAAAATGTCTCTAAACATTATTTGTTTCATTTTCCTTCCACAGCTGGAGGTGGAATCAAGAAATCTGGGAAGAAGTGAATGTGGTTTAGTGTATTTTTTGCTTGCTGTTCAAACCACCAACTCAAGATTTGGGTCCACGATGGCAACAACAAATGAATTTCTTTTTTTTTAAGTTACTTTATATTTCTCTTGTAAAGAAAAAGTAATAAAGTTTGTAATGACTGTACATTTCAATTTCAGAGGTTTTAATTAATGATTGTGAAACATCATGATAAAACAGCTGTAAAACATCCAAACAAGTGATCCATTATGTTGTCATTCATTCACACTTTTCATGTCCTCGATTGTGTCTTTATTTAACCTAAACAAACACAGACACACACAAAAACACCATGTTAGCATTGTATGTTTATGTTTTAGTCATTTTTCTGCTGTGTGTAAGTGTCATACTTTTCGTTTCTTGGATTTGTCCTTGAGCTCCACCTCTACTGGATAGTGGTCACTCACTTTCAGCGCCTGTGAAGACATTTAATCTTATAAACCACATTCTGTAAGCTAAATGTACAGTGATAACTCATGGAAATTGTGATTAAATCAACTGTGACCATAAAACCAGTCATCAGGGAGCCTTTATGAAAAATCAAAAACCTTATTTACAAAATGTGTGTATGCTCAGTGTGTGTATGTGCTTCAATCAATGGCAATGTTCATAGTTATAAAAGCGTGGGAAAATACTTTCTGCCATGTCAAGATCTGAGCAGGGGTACATGCGTATTCTCGTGGAAATATGGCCGTTATTCCTACATCTAATAAAAGCAGAGTGTGCTAGTAATGGGGGAAACCAAGTGAAACAGCGCTATAGTGACCCCTGGTGGTCGAAACTAAATGCAACTAGAAGCCTGGCAAAACATCAACAGATTTGGTTTATAAAACGTATTGCTAGCTTTAAATTGAAAGTGTAACCTATTAAATCTTGTGTACTGTTTAGATAGACTACCCTTTCGTTATGTCTGGAGTTGTTTTTGCCCCATTGACTTCCATTATAATGACATTTTATGACATGTTTAGCAGAGCCTACCATTAACCAAACAAACTATAAGCCTTGAAAACGTATAATGCTGACATAGTGTTTAAGGACATTATATGATAAGTTAAGTGATACGAAGTTTCTATTTCAGAGATCACCACTGTGGAATGAACCGCCAACTATTCTGGTATACAGTAGTCAACATTTTAAGCAGATCAAACACGTTTTTCAAAATTGCCTTGTAAGAAAAGAATAGATGTTCAATAGTTTTAGGACAATGACGAAAATTGATGACCCACTTTTAACATTCACTACTGTATATTTTAAGCAGAAGATGCCCTTCCAGACGCATCCCAGAGCTGGGAAACACCCATACAAACTCATTCACATGTACATCATACAGTACGGCCAATTTAGTTTATTCATTTCACCTGTAACGCATGTGTTTGGACTGTGGGGGAAACGGGAGCACCTGGAAGAAACCCACACCAACATGAGGAGAACATGCAAACTCCACAGAAATGCCAACTGACCCAGCCAGGGCTTGACCTAGCAACCTTCTTGCTTTAAGGCAACCGTGCTAAGCACTGAGCCACTGTGAAGCCATTTTTACATATATTTACTAATTATTAAAAATTCTAATAATTTTTTATCGTAAATAGATTATTTAGACTCATAAATTGTGTTTTTTTTTTTGGCTATTTTTACAATATAACCATGCGAAATAAGACTGCTTTTGTGGTCCTGTGTTACATATGAGTATGAAATCATTCTTGTTTACATCTTCCTCTGTCAAGCTGAAGGCAGTCTGGAAGTTGAACGGTTTCGCAGAGCCTGGAACAACAGCTAGCATCATATCGTCTCCATAAACAACAATCCTGTGTATGAAAATGTTACAATAGTGAGGGAAATGCCAGATTTCAAAGCTTTTATTTAGCAATGTGATTATTTACCGATCATAAGTGTTGTCGTTGTGTGTGCTGGCCGTGGTGTCTTCATCGTCACTGATCAGCCAATGGAATTCTGGGTCACTTCTGATGCGGATTTGTTTCATTTTTTTATCAGACACGTAACTCCCGTCTGCGTTGAAGTCTCCCAAAATCATGATGTTCTGTGTGGATATAAACATGAAACATCGGTCTGTTTGAGAAACTGTCGTATAATTTTGATGCTACACTGTAAAACCTAAAAAGTTAAGGTAACGCAAATCGTTTTAGGAAACCGATTGCAACAAAGTTCAAAAACTAATCCTAATGAGTACTGTAAACTTAATACGTTTGAGTAAACGAAGCAGTTTGAGCACAGTAAAACTCAATAAAAGGAGAGAACTCAAACCAACGGAGTACAGTAAAACCCAAGAGTTAAGGCAACTCAAACCGTTTGAGGAAACCGATTGCTACAAATTATTTGAGTTAAACTAATCTATACGAGTACTGTGAACTTACTCCATTTGAGTTGAAGTAATGAGGTATGTAATGAACTCATTACCTTCAACACAGAGTTCAAAACTCTTCTCAAATGAGTAGAATTAACTTTAGGTACATTTTGAGTTGACTACACTCATTTCATTTGATGAAGCTGACTGTTGGGTTTAACGGTGTATTTTTCATAAAATGTGTATTTTTCATTACAGTGTATTTTTTTTAATAAAATTTCATAAAATGTGTAGACGGTTATATTAATGATAATTTTGAGCTATAGCGTGAGAAATGAGTGAGGAAAATGTCAAATTTTAAATTAAAATTCTAAATTGGGCTGACGCCCCGTGTGAATGGGGCGTAATGCTGTGTTCACACAGACATGGCATGCTCAAATAAATTGGCGTAAATGGACGCTAGACGTAAATAGTCGCTAAAACATTTTAGTCGCTTCATTAGTGCATCAAATTCAATTCATTCGCGTGTCAAATTCGATTTATTCACACGTCAAATTCACTTTACAATAGATGCAGATTCGGGGCTTGGTCGGGGCTTCTGTTTGCTTGGTGACTCTAGCTTCATTGCTAAACAGCTAACATGGATTTCATTGAGAGAGTAGCTGTGTTTATGTTCTTTAAGAAGGCTGAAAAACAGTGAGGATTCGTTCGGCACCGTGTCTGAGCCATTAGATCCTTTCTGAGGAGCAGCAAGCTCAGTGAGTTCATCAACTCCTGAAACTGAGTCTGGATGATGGAGGCTTTTAGCCGAGCCGAGCCCAGTTTGATGAACTGTTGTCCGGTGACGGCAGGAGGATTTTCACTCAGGACACCAACAACAGGCACTACGTTATAATCACTCCCCTACAAGAGCAAGCTCCTGATAGGTTAATGTGGTGCGAATGTCCAGTAAAGTTTGGATTTTCCAACTCGAGCTAAATGTACATCAAAAGCGCAAAACGCTCAACTCACGCCGCGACATTCGAGCGGTCTCATTCATGCGAATCACATCGGAGGATGTCTATTTTGCGTCTTTGCATTGACTTAAAATACAAGATGCTTCATCTGCATCTGCTGTGAATGCACCATGAGAACTTGATGATAATGCACCTGCAGTAATTCGCATTTGGAATTTTATAGATTTTTTGAGTCCTTTGAAAAGGTTTGCTTCATGTTAGCATGGAAACCTGGCTAGTAATCCGCTTGTTAAGTGTGACGTCACGCGAAGCGGCTTCCGGGTCCTAGCGCTCTATTCAACTGAATGGGGAGACTCATGAAATGGTAATAATGAACGTTTACAAAGCGATTTAATGCTTTCGAAAATCACGATCGCAGTATATATGTCCAATGCCTAATATCCGATGGCCAGAAAGTGATACATTTTTTTATAAATTGTTAAATCTTTGGTTTTTGTTATGCAGCAAGCCCAGAGATTGTTGTGTACACTATGATTTATATAATTAACTTTAATGTGTGATAGGAATAAAACGCGATCATAAACGAATGATTTCTCCACTCAAATGAGTGGCGGCTTGGACCCAGAAACAGTATTACATACGTCACAAACACGTCACCACTTAACAAGCGGATACATGGTTTATACTAGTATATCATTGCTTAAAAAATACATTTAAAGGGCTAACCCAAAAATTTTAATTCCAAAGTTATTATTTACTAGCCCTACTGTTGTTGCAAACCTTAATGAGTTTCTTTTATTTATGCAAAAGCTGAACATAAAAGAAGTTATTTGGGAGAGTTTTGGAAATCAGTAGCTCTTAACTTTCATAATAGCACAATAAAATACTATGAAGGTCAATGGACACCGGTTTGTCAACACTCTTTAAAGTATCTTCTTTTGTGTTCAACATAAAGAAACTCTCAAAGGTTTAGAACTACTTGACGCGGAGTAAAGATTATATTTTAATTTTGAGGTGAACTATCTCTTTATGGTTTGGAGTAATATTAGAGTTAATTAATATTAATGTCAAACGTTTTACATCAGTTTTCCATTTCTTCCTAACATCCTGAAACACGTCATAGAGTTCGTCAATTTCCTTCACTGAATCTTCAGGCTTGGTGTGGACGGGCATCAGCACCAAATCTTCCAAAACTGCCAAAACACAAACAGTAATGTTAACAACAATAACCTATTTACACACACACACACACACACACACACACACACACACACACACACACACACACACACACACACACACACACACACACACACACACACACACACACACACACACACACACACACACACACACACACTCATTCACCTTCTGTCACAGCCCCACCCAGAGATTAATGCAAATAAGCCAGTGACGTTGGTTTATTTGTACTGACTGTCATTTGCATGAATAATAAATGTAGTTATTATGCTATAAATAAAAAGCACATTTGCATATTAAAGGTTCAGGACACCCTGGAGAACTTTTTTTTAACAGATTTGTGTGTGTTGAGCATCAGTTAAGACAATGTTAGCACCTGTCAGCTTTAATTGTGGGGAAAACTGGATAATTTTGAGCTTTTGTCAGCAAATTTCAGCTTCCGGCTTTAAAATGATTTTTGGGGCGGGATCAAAATCGACGACGTAGCGCAGTACTGCAAGAGCAATGATGACGCGTCGGTTTCTCATTATTATTCATAGCGGAGTTTTCTTATCCTATGAGAAGAGCCGGCTGCTTAATTATTCATGAGACCTGCCAGACCTGCCAGAGTCAAGCCTGAGCTGTGAGACACGTCACTGACCCACGGCACGGGCACACAGTATTTAGCCGTTCATAAAGGCTCGTATGTGTTTGTTTCCATGATCCACGCGGTTTGTTGCATGTTTTCCCCCACAATCTTGTCAGGGGTGATCATACAGCAAAGCTGTGTGTGTGTTGCAAACATTTTTGTCGGGAGAGCAGCACGAGAATTAGAGAATGGCGGATGCTGTCTTTTATCAGGAGTTCGTTCACATTCAGACACATCGCTGTGCTGCTGTGTTTGCCTAAATCCTCCAGGATACCAGCAGGACTAACAATTAAAATAGACAGGTCAGGAGACCTGCTGCACTGAGTCTGCTGGATACGGGGATTGAGGGAGAAGTCCTCATTTATAGGGTTTACATGAACACACTTATCTTTATAATGATATAAATTGTGGTTATGTGTATAGGAAATTACGAATAACAAATGTAGCAGGGCATTGAATCACTTTGCATTTTAACTTTATAAACTATAAACTCATGCGTCTCCTCACGGTTTGTCTCATTTTGTGAGCTAGCTACGTTCGCTCACGTTCTCCCCTGCTGGCCACGCCCACTCCTGCCCTGTGCTCGCGGAGCTCCACGCCCATTAATCATGCATCTTTTGAAAAAATTCTGAAGTAGACTTTAACCGAAATTGGGGGGTGTCATGGCCCTTCTTAGGCCGTACTCACACTATGTACAGTTGCCTTGAACCGGGCCGAAGCACGCTTTTCTCCCCTGACGGCCCACACTCACACTACAATCGGACCTGGGCACGCTTACGTCATCAATGATGCGATGGTATGCAATGACAC